GCTTCCAAAAAAGGACTAGGCAGGATATCCTGCATGAAAACGTGATGTTCACACGACCGCTGGTCTTGATGTAATGTGAGATGTGAGATGCCCCCTTATATATTCTAAGTTCATCCTGGGAGGTTCTCTACAGTGCACTTGTCATTGACACCACAATGTTGATGCTTCCATAATCAATACACGGAAGTAAATATCTATAAGGGGCGTATTATGAGACTCATCTCGGGTGTTTAGGATCTGCTACCCTAACTCAGAATCAGTTGTCACAAGTCGGTTTCGTGTGCAGCCTTCAGTGCAGATTAAGATTTGTTATGGTTGCTTTAGGGCCAGACTGCGAACACATGAATATGTAATAGCTGTTGAATGTCTAGCTAGTTTTAATAACAAATATAACGTTACTTAAGAAGTCTATGGGAAAACTTATGGTTTTGTGTAACCTATAGGGTGATTGCACATTTCGCTCGCTGACTCGGTTCATGCATGTCATCGCATCCCAATTGCGTGGATCGATGCCCATGATGTCAATCACTGGATTGTCTAGTCCAGACTCGATTATTTTCAGACCGCCGTCATATAGCTGTAATATTGCTGAGTGCGACGTTAAACAACAAACAAATATATCTCAGTACATAAACACATTTCTTTAATGCAGACATTTGTCAGATTTCAAGGGGAGCGATCGAATCCGGTTCTCCCCGATTATGTTTCTAGGTTTGTCAGCACCATTCCCGTGCTCGTTGGTTTCACCGAAGTGGTAAACGTCTGAGATCTGCATCACTTCGGGCTTTCCTTCCACATTAAGCTGACACGCCGTGATATAACTGGAAAACTGTTAAAAGCGGCGTTAAACCCATCTCACTCACTCACTCATTAACCATGTACACATATTGGATATCTATGATACACCCAGTAATACATGGTACTTCCATGGGGTCACAACTTCCAGCCTGAGTCCAAACACCAAATCTGCAATACTTGGTCACCGCACGTCCCTCAAGTTTGTCATCTTGATACGATCACAATACCTACCTCAGATATGAAATCCCAAATCCCGAATTCCAACCCCTACCGTTTACCGTTTCCATGGTTCCGCCATATAAATGTAGTGCTCGTTCTTCCGACGCGTTCCTTCCTCTTGCTACGATGTTCTGCTGTTGTCCATAATTTTATCATCCTCAATCTGGTCATATACCCCTTTGTGAAAATGTTTGTTTGTTTGTTTGTTTGTTGTTCAACGCCGCAATCAGCAATATTCCAGCTATATGATGGCGGTCTGTGTCATGGTGTTCTCGATATCGGAGTATCCGTTATAGTACCGACGTCTATACAGGATAGTTATACAAGAGGGCGGTGGCGTAGGCTAGTAGTTCAACCGTTCGACGAAGACCGGGTTCGATTCCCCACATGGGTACAATATGTGTGAAGCCCATTTCTGGTGTCCCCCAGCTGTGACATTGCTGGAATATTGCTGAAAGCGGCATGCAACCATAGGAGTTCCATCAGGCGGCCATTAACACATGAAACGCATCCAATGTAGACGCGTGTCACCTGTGATTGACACATTATGCTCAACCTGGCGTTTATCCCTTGTAATTTACGTCGCTGCTACGCCTCTAAATAGGGCAGTTATCAGTAAGTACAAAACCGACACATAGGCCACCGCGTGCGCAACACTATCGAGGAATTTTGTCTCGCAGCAATTCGCCTTGTGATCCCAATCAACTTGTCTCAAGGTAAGCAGGCGGTTATCTCATGGTTATAGTTTCATTTTGAAACCATAGCATAACATCATCCGCCCGGACAACTGAATAGGTATGTAAGCCTAATTGTTTATTTTGTAGATGTGATTCGATGCTGTATGTAATATATAGAAATATAGAATATCTAGTATGTAACTTGGGTGAAATACCCCTTGATGCAGGAATTACTCTCGCTCTGCACCATTGACACTAGTCTTTTCAGAAAAGAGACCATAGTAGACTATATATGATACAAAGCAAGGTATACACAATGTATGGATAATGTATAAGGACCTATTCCAAAACGCCGTTCTCATGGTGCATTGAAGAAGTTGTCGTCCATAAACTGTGTCTACTTTGTCGTCCGTCTACTTCAGTACCTATCAAATAATATGTAGAAGATTTCAGTTGTCTTTTCTTGTAAAATCATCAATTCGCGTGACCTGACAATGTTGAAACTTCACTCGTGGCTTCGCTATTCATGATGTATGTCAGGTCGCTCGGGAAGATAAAACATGTTATTTGATATATAAGATAGCTACGCGATAAATCGCAGAAAAATGAAGAACGAAGCGTGGTTTATTTACGATAAAACAGTGTTCTATCATGACGTTATTTCTGGAGACTCGTAGATGTGATTGCAACTTGATGACGGGGAAGTGTCTTGTAAGTTGTTCCCCATAGATGTAGCCGGGGTATGCAAAAAACGCGGTGGTCGAACGATCGCATCCAAAAGTGGGAGATATGTGGCGATCGGATTTAGGAGAAAAGGTACAGAAAATCGACGTGAGGGTTGTAAAAGTACGCTGGAAATACCAAACCTAACCCACCTGTTCGTAAAATGTATTTGTCCGACATTGCCGAAATCGGATTCTATTCAGGGAGTCATCATTATTAAAATTTGGGTAAATATTTTTAAAGTTTGCACATTTTATCAACATCCTTAGGAGGTTGTACATAATGTTGATATCTCATATAAGAAATATACGTCCCCCATGGTTTAATCTCCCTGCAGTCATTTTGTTTTGGTACGATAAACAACGACCACGAGTCGTTTATTTCTTATAGAGACGACAAAAATCCTACATGTGTTTCTTGCGAAAATCAATTACAGTCGTCATACACGTTTCGTTCCCGTGATACAGTGTGGTTATATTAATAAGCGGAAGATCTAGTTTCATTTAGAGCCGCTTAGGTCGGTAACAAGGTTAAATCACGGATCTCAGCCTGATGTGGGACAACGTCCCACAGTGATGCAGGTCATTGACGTTTACCACTTCGGTGACAGACGAGCACGGGTTTGGTGATGACGTAGCGATTGTGGTATCAACATGGAGCTGGGATTGTGACCGTAATCGATTATTCGAGTGACCGAAGACAGATCACGTCATTATTATTTTAAGATTATGTTAAATATTCGTCACGAAAGTAACGCTACTGTTATACGTTGCACTAGGGGGAGTGACCCACCTACCGAATACATTGTGGCCTGTTCCTTAATCTGGGGATGAGCTTCTGGCCTATATTCACCATGTACATTACAACGACTATACCTAACATTTCATGTGATGTGGAATGTAATATAGCCTTTGGCTTTAGGTTAGGTTGCATATTCTCACACACAGTTTCTGAGACCGAGCCAAGATTGTGGACTTTTATCCTGAATTGTACTTTTCATCCCACTTAACATGTAATGTCATATTTTAGTTACACGAGAATACGGGCGGCACGGGTGGCCCAGTAATCTAAGGCGCCGCGATTCGCTGTGCAGAGTTGCGTCCCTTGGTCACGCCAGAAACCTATGACTATGGGTTCGAATCCCGGTTCGCCCCAATCGTGTTTCTAGGTTTGTCAGCACCATACCCGTGCTCGTGGGTTTCACCGAAGTGGTAAACGTCTGAGACCTGCATCACTTCGGGCTTTCCTCCCACATTAAGCTGACACGCCGTGATATAACTGGAATACTGTTAAAAGCGGCGTTAAACACAACTCACTCATTCACTTACACGAGAATACGGTGAAATATAAAAGAATTAATGCTTTATTAATTAACTCAGTTATTCACTCACGTTGATTTGTTCTTTGTATTATTCACAATAATGTGTTTTAACGATATGTTACGTCGGATAGACAGAGAGATATTTTATTAAAGGGCCACCTCAACATTTTATACACAAAATTATGCACATACATTCTTAAAAATAAGTTTGGCCATTCCATGCAGAATTAGGAGAGACTATTGTGCATACATCAGAACAAAGGGTTTTAGATAAAACCGTAACCAATTACAATTAAATATATATAAAGTAGGAACATACAAATTGGCAGCACGGTTGCTTAAATATATTATGGCAGGTTTTCGTAATTAAAAAGGACAGTTCAGGCTATGACAGTATATAACTAACCTTATCTTTATCGTTAAAGGACATAAAAGGACATAAAACCTTAGACATCCAGTCCGCCAACAAGCGAAATGGCATACACAGCGTCTCTCAGTGGGACCAGTATTTGTACAGGCATGCGTGACGGACCTGATCATCCACAGAGTGTCATCCAGCATTGTTCCTCAGCATTGCGTAGGTTTCTAATGCAGAGGAAATAGTGTTACGATTATTCAGTAACGAGAGTTTAATGTTAAAATATGCTAATTGTTATTCCACTCTTGCCTTGTCCTTCGTATGACCTCGGTTCGAAACCACTTTAGTTTCGAGTGAGTGAGTGAGTTGGGTTTAACGCCGCTTTTAACAGTATTCCAGTTATATCACGGCGTGTCAGCTTAATGTGGGAGGAAAGCCTGAAGTGAAGCAGATCTCAGACGTTTACCACTTCGGTGAAACCCACGAGCACGGGTATGGTGCTGACAAACCTAGAAACATAATCGGGGGGAACCGGGATTCGAACCCACAATCATAGGTTACTGGCGTGTCCAAGGAACGCAACTCTGCACAGCGAATCGCGGCGCCCTAGACGACTGGCTTTAGTTTGAGGTATGGGTCATGTGATTTCAAAGAGCAAGAAAGAGAAACATATATATCTTTCACTGGTGCCCAGTTTCAGACTATTCCCATTTCGCTAATAGTTTTGCTACGATAAACTCCTAAACGACTGAATAAATAATAAATTGGATTTTTAGAATTGAATCCTTTTCATCCATTTCCGAAAGTAGTTTATAGTGAACCTCTTTGTCATCACAGGGAAGGTCAGGAGAAAAGTGAAACCAAAACAAGATGAATACAATAATTTTCATAACACTCCTGGACAACGTCCTCAGGACTATACTCAAGGACATAGGATATATATGCTTGCTGTCCAGCCTCATGAGAAGGTTAATGTGGATGCGGGTTATTCAACGCGGGTTGGGAAATACTACCGATGTAATCAATACAATGCGGGTGAATGTCATCTGTCGCTCAGATGGAGGCAGCGGTGGGTGAAGGCCGCCAGGCTGACATTAGCTGGAATTTGCGATAAAGCGCCTACGCATAACTACGATGGAAGTGTCATATGACGCATGTTTGCAGTGGTGTATTATCCGTGAATGGACAATCAATTCAATTGTTATAAGATGTCATGCTTGAGATGACGTCACGGCTCCTTGCCTGCGATGACGTAAAGTAAGTTTAACGTATATTACCGATAGATAAACAACGACCACGAGTCGTTTATTTGTGATATCAACATTTTGTACAGCATTTTTAACTATGTTAATAGCACTGTACAAACTTCAAAAATATTTACCCGTATTTAAGAAATAGTGATTCCCTGAATACAATCATGCCTCGGCAGTGTCGGACAAGTCCATTTTATGAACAGGGGTGTTAAGTTTGGTATTTCCCAGATAGTCTTACAATATTCACGTCCATTCTGTTAACCTTTTCTCCCGATACAGAATGTCATATCTCTCCGAACTTTGAAAGCGATCGTTCGCCCATTGTGTTTTCCAGCTACATATATTTAGAACATCTCACTAGACACTCATGCATGTCATAGATCCCAATTGCGGGAATCGATGCTCATGATATCAATCACTGGATTGTCTGGTCCAGACTCGATTATTTACGATTGATTTAAGCATGTATGTATATACGTGTGTGTGTGTGTGTGTGTGTGTGTGTGTGTGTGTGTGTGTGTGTGTGTGTGTGTGTGTGTGTGTGTGTGTGTGTGTGTGTGTGTGTGTGTGTGTGTGTGTGTGTGTGCTACCCCACCCAACTTTTGTTTGGGATGTTGTTATCTTTCCATGATACACAAAACTGAAACAATATGTTAACCCAGAAATTTGTACGTGAAGGAACCTGCTGTGAAACCAACTAACAAACAACAAATGGTAAACAACCAACAAGTTGTACACAATCAACAAATGTATTACAAAAATAAGTTTACAAATCAATACATATTACTGCAAAACAATTACAATGGCATTACACAATAGAGTGGTAGTACAATATTCAATGACGGAATAATAATGTTATTGCAGTTTTCGGTATCAAATGCAAAAATACAGTGGTTATAGTAAAAGTCAGTGATAATAATATATACTGAACCGCAAAAGAAACGTCATCCCAAGTAACATTGCATGAAAAGTTGTCATTTAAATATCTGGGTAATTTTTGTCAAAGGTTCTAAAATTCAACATAACCTTGTCCGGAAAAATGAAATTTGATTTTAAAAAACCCAAAGCAGATGACAATAAAACGCATCAAGGCAACGGCCATGGTAACATGATGCACGTGTGTTCCGTACAAATTGAAATGCACATGTGTTCCCCCATTTCTTGCCCTATAAAATTCTACCAAGATCGGATAACATTCATTCGTTATTGAATTGCTACCATATGTTACCACATGCCAAGATTGACACGAAATCAGCGACACCAAGCCCTTGGACGATTGCAAGCTGAACAAACGGCCCGACAAGTAGCCAATGCATTCCAAGACCACGTAAGGACCATATACAGGCTCCAGCAACGGTACCAGACCACCAACACTTCAGATGACCGACCACGTAGTGGAAGACCAAGGGTCACCACCCGACGTCAGGATCGTCAGATTGTGCGACAGCATCTTCAAGATCGCTTTGTTACTGCTGCGGAAACTGCTCGACAGATCATGGGGACACACCAGCGACACATTAGTGCGGACACAGTGCATTGACGAGCAGACACCTCTACTGTCACAGGCCAAACCGAGGACCCATCCTGACACCACGTCATCGCCGGGACCGTCTTCAGTGGGCAACACAGCACCAGCATTGGCGCCACTAGCAGTGGAGAAGAGTCCTCTTCTCAGACGAGAGTCGTTACTGTATCTCAACAGCAGTTCACAGGTGTCACAGCAGCTCGGTACATTGATCAAGTCTTGAGACCACACGCCATACCTCATTTGGCACATCGCCCAAACCACGAGTTTCAGCATAACGCCCGTGCCCACACTGCGAGAGCAACAAGAGACTTCCTCCAGCAGAATGGCATCAGAACCATGCAGTGGCCTGCCCTCAGTCCCGATTTAAATCCCATTGAGCACCTGTGGGACGAGATTCAAAGACGGCTGAATGACGTCCGACCAAGGCCGACAACTGCAGCTGAACTGCGTCAGGCGTTCCTCAGAGTGTGGGCTCAAGTGCCTATGGCCTTCATCAACCGCCTCATCCATTCCATGTATCGACGTTGCACGGCAGTCATCAATGCACATGGCGGACAACGAGATACTGACTTGTGATGCGATTTTCTCAGAGACTAGTGATGTGTTTCACTTTAAGAACATTTAACACTTTAATTTCAACCTTGACGATCAGTTTTGCCAAGTTTCATCTTTTTGATATGTCTCAAAGTATGTTTACAGTGTTTGGACAAATAAGGTTTCTCATATATCTGTCCATGATGACGTTTCTTTTGCGATTCAGTATACATTCACCCAGCAGCGACAGTGATCAAGCTTCCGAGATGGGTTAGGCAGGGAATCAGTGATGATGAGCGATCCTCACATGAAAGCTGGTTCCAATGTCATGCGTGACAAAGATACGTAAAGACGCTCTTGTCCCGCAAAATATACAACCTAACAAGCTTCTGGAAATTTCTATGCAGTGTCATCACCAGTCTTACGGTACTAGAACATTAAAGAAGTTTTCATAACATACTATCACCGTCCGCTGCATACCGGACCTGAAGTTTACATACCACACCTAAATATAGTAACTTCCATACGACTAATCACTGCCCAAAACACAATGCAAAAAGCGTTTTCCGAATCCCAACAGAAACAATACAACACAGCCACAATCACTGTTAAACAATAAAACAATGCCATATAACAATTATCCCAGCAAATATTGAGTAGTATAAATTTAGTCAAAGTATCTTTGAGTAGTAGGGTAGTAGTAGTTTGTTTTTTGTTTAACGCCGCACCCAGCAATATTCCAGCTATATGACGGCGGTCTGTATATAATCGAGTCTGGACCAGACAATCTAGTAGTAGTAGTAGTATCTTGCCTGTAACGTGTAACACGAGTGTGCAACCATTTCTATTTGAATTATCAATAAAATAGCCTACCATCACAGGCCATTTCACCCCAGTGCGCTGACATAGGCCAATACATTTCGTATATCAGCGATCATCCTTTATGCATGTACTGTCGCCCTGTTGTTCAACAATTCCTATGGTTGAATCCTAATAATTGTAACCCAGTCTTTGCTAAAAATGATAAAGAAAATATAAAATGTTTTCATCATCTTTATAACATGTCTAATGTTCCTTTAGCATCGTAGCTCCTCAATGAAGTGTTAAAACTTGTGAATGGCTGCAGTCATCCCCGTGAACATCCGGGTCAGCAAACAATGCTTGTCGCAAAAGGCGACTAACGGGATCGGGTGGTCAGCCTCGCTGACTTGGTTGATGCATGTCATCGTATCCCAATTGCGTAGGTCGATGCTCATGATATTAATCACTAGATTGTCTGATCTAGCCTCGATTATTTACAGACCGCCGTCATATAGCTGGAATATTGCTGAGTCCGCGTTAAACAACAAACAAACAAAGCATTATCCCCGTGAACACCCTGGGGGTGTGTTGGACGTGTACAGTACAGGAGTAGAATAGAGTGTCTGTTTGGAGATTGTACCCGGAGATTTCCCTCCCTCGTGCTTGTGTCGCCCTTGACATTGCCTTATGACCCGTGCAACAGGTCGATGCATGACTATATCGTGCACACGTGTTCCGACGAAGTCTTTCGATACTGGAGAAGACTGTGTTAAATGCTGTATTATCACTAGTATTTTCGCTTCATCATACAGACTTTTCTAGAAATTGACAATACTGCCCATATCATGATATACATAATGAACTCGACCTGACAAGGAATGTATCCCTATAGTTTTGGTCGTGAAAGACTGGATGACCTGACGACTGGCGACTGCAGGGATATTCGACACCTCGGAGAGTGTGGGTATGCCTATTTTACTTACTAAAGATCATCACCAGTTACGAGTGTCGTTCCAAGCTGACTCACTAGGTTGTTATCTATTAGGTACGATTTTTTTTAGCAGTGATTTTGTATAATATTTTTTTTATTTTAATACTAACAGTTGAAATATTAATGGGAAGGGGGTGGGGGAGTAGAGCAAAAAATGTTTGTGTGATGCAGTTACATAAATACATCTTGAAATCGGCACCATAAGGGACCAGCTTGAGCGTCAGTTGTAGAATGACTTCGGGAGAGGTGTTTCTGATCCGTGAATTGTCTGCGATATCATCTCGTACGTTACGCTCGCTCAGCGCGTTAACAGGTAATTCACGAGTCAGCAACACGCCTTCTTGATCATTCTCGAAAATACACGGACGGGCCATTGGGGGGTGGGGGGTACGTTACCTGGCACTAATTACATCTGTTCAGTTCATGGACATTGGTACATCCTGTATGTACTGTTCATGGACATTGGTACATCCTGTATGTACTGTTCATGGACACTGGTACATCCTGTATGTACTGTTCATGGACATTGGTACATCCTGTATGTATTGTTCATGGACATTGGTACATCCTGTATGTACTGTTCATGGACATTGGTACAATAAGTATGTACTGTTCATGGACAATGGTACATCCTGTATGTACTGTTCATGGACAATGGTACATCCTGTATGTACTGTTCATGGACATTGGTACATCCTGTATGTACTGTTCATGGACATTGGTACATCCTGTATGTACTGTTCATGGACATTGGTACATCCTGTATGTACTGTTCATGGACATCTGTACATCCTGTATGTACTGTTCATGGACATTCGTACAATATGTAAGTACTGTTCATGGGCATTGGTACATCCTGTATGTACTGTTCATGGACATTGGTACAATATGTATGTACTGTTCATGGACAATGGTACATCCTGTATGTACTGTTCATGGACAATGGTACATCCTGTATGTATTGTTCATGGACATTGGTACATCCTGTATGTACTGTTCATGGACATTGGTACATCCATTATATACTGTTCATGGACATTGGTACATCCTGTATGTACTGTTCATGGACATTGGTACAATAAGTATGTACTGTTCATGGACATTGGTACATCCTGTATGTACTGTTCATGGACATTGGTACATCATGTAT